GCGCTCCATCCCGTTAGTCGGAAGAAGATTCGACCTTGTCCCACCTGCTTCAGTATATCTAACGCGGCTTACTTATCGCCCTCGATGATGGAGGCAGCAAGGACCTCTGAAACGTTGGTAAACTTCCACCAGACTACACGGCGCTACAACCCAGAAGACGGCCATCTTCGACAATTGGTTTTTGTTTTGCTTAGAAAATTCTGTAAATCGGTACAGATTGCTTTCACGGAGCGGTTGGTTCTGGGCAGATGCGACTTGAGGGCGTCGAAAACAGGGGAAAGACGCCTCCTTGCCCCTTCCCGCGATCACTTCGGAGCCGGTAACCGTGATTGATGGCACGAGGCGCGTCAGAATTCCAAGGAATCGCAACTTCACTTCAACTGTTCCGGCGACTTCAATACCAGCTTTTCAGTTTATGTTCGTCGCCGTGGTAAATAACTTTGTATGGAAGACATGTTTGTATGCAGCGGGAAATTTATGAAATGTCACAGAGTAACCTGCATGCCAAGAATTGCGAATGTCTGTTTGCTAAGTTCAGTGTCGTGTAAACGCGTTGGACTTTAATGTGACGTCTTGTCACGGTCTAATGTGCAACCGATATCAGTTATGGTGTACAAACTGAGAAGAGTCTTTCTTGAGAAGCTGATATTTACTCAGCTGGCCAATTTCCCGCCTTTTATGAAACGCAAATGTTCATTACCATGTCCACAACAGCTCGTCATTGGACCCAGTCAATGTAGTCTACGCCCGTCCACCTTATTTAATGCTAATTTTAATATTATCCTCCCATCTACTTCTTGGACATTTGAGTGTTTTTCCCTTCAGGTTTTTGAACTTATTTCTCAGTTTCCTTGTAATTGCTGGATTATTGGTGCACAGTATTAATGCAGAGATCCTGGAAGATCACGCCAAATGTGGATTTCATAGAAGCTGGAACAGGCCACGCGCCTAATCCGTGAATTGAAGAAGTTTTAATACAACTGAATATTCTAGGGTTTTGTTCATATAGTCAGTCGGAATAAAACAATTGTTTGGCGTTGTATCGGAGTCAAGTATGATGCTTAACGGTATATTTGTATAGACAGATTTCGGCCGGTGGCGGCTAACCGGGGGTGGTGTTACTCCAGCATTTTCTTTGAAATTACACAGGGAATTTCTGTTTCGAGGCGTTCTTTTCCTCAGTGCGACGGTTGCGTTATGCAGTGGGACGCCTCACCGTGCCCAGATTTGTTAGAGACGCAGGACGTCACACCACCGGTTGGTGGAACGCGGTTTTAACCAAAAAACATGAAGGGCAGATACTGAAGACAATATTAAAATTAATCATAAAAAATGAGGTGTGAAGATGAGGACTGGATTCATCTGGTTCGGGATGGGGTTTTGGGATAACGACCCTTCGGGCTCTGTAAAGGCATCGAATTGCTTCAAAACTTGTGGCGATTGTCATTTGGGGGTTTCCATTACATCCGTAGGAGTGTTTACGAGATTAATCCCGGGGTTTGGTTAAGTTGCCAACAGCCACACATTCAAATAATCATGAAGTTAAAACTGTCGCCAGCCAATGTTACGCCAACAACACATTCAAGCCACGTTTTGTTGCATTCATAATTAAGGGGGGTTGGGGGTTGATAATCGGATGTTACATAATTTAACATCAGGCGTTGCTTTAATTCCTGTCATGTATTTAGGGTCATATCGATTTGTGCATTGTGTCAGAACTTTGAAAAGGGCTGTAGATGGTTTTAAAGTTGACACACTCTTACACGTTATTAGTGTGACATAATTATATCAAATTTCATACAAATCCTTCTGTTGCTTCGAAAGTCATTAAGGACATTGAGGAAATCTGTCCCAAGCGGAAAAATTATTAGGTATCCTCCCGAACGCGTTATAAACAGTTTTGATCAACTGTGAGAGGAATGAAAAATTGTCTATCGAATTATATGGTAATGCAGGTGACTTGTAATATGGTATTCATTTTGTGCAGCCAACTAAACGCGAGTACCTTCGCAAAACAAACCACCCACTGAGCTGTAGGCCTGTGGGGAAATTCAATTATTCTAATATAGTAGTTCAGCTCTGTGCCTGCTCGCTGGCTTGGCTAGTGCCTAAACGATTAACCCCCCCCCCCGGGCACAACCAAATCAAACAATCACACCCATTCATTGCTACCAACATTGTGTGAAAATAAATTCCAACAACGCATTCATCTCCCTGTGTCTGACCGATTAGTTTAACTCGGGGACTGAAGCTGGGGTTTAATGCGAAAGCTCATAAACGTAAAATTGAAGTAAATACTTTGCGAAGACTGTATTAGAGCAGAGATGATATCTCCTACTTTGTTAAACCGATTCTTGTTCGTACGTGTCTGCAGTGACGTGTTTGTCGTCTGGGTATGTGCGTTCTGATGCAGAGGCTCGCATCTCAGGTCGACTGGTCGGATGGTCGCTCGGTCTGTCTGCTCGCACAGGATTGTGCTAACACAAAGCCACTTCTCGTTTCCTCGTCCGCCTTTCCATTCTTCGTTCTTCCAGTCCACTGCGTTCGTGCTGCCCTCATCGCTGCGTCCCCTACAGACGGTAAGAGATGTAACTCGTGGGGCGTTGGCCCTGGTGTTTGCTACGCCCTGACAACACACAGAAAGATTCGACTAAATGTATTTTTATAAACATTACAAAACACAGAAATAAAATTACGAAACTAGCATCACAATGAAATAAGCTTGGATGGACCATAAGTTCACGAAAGAAACAAACATTTTGAAAAACGTAAGACCTCTGGGAAGAGATGTCATGAAACTACTAAGACATTGAAGGTGGATGTTTTCTGAAACGCTGCGCCTCGTAGTCTGGTGTAAATCGACCGACGTTTCAGAGACTCTTATTGCCCTGATGATGGAGGCAGCAAGCACCTTTGAATCATCGATCAGTTTCCACCAGATCACACCCATCATCGCACTCATCACCGCGATGATCTGAAACATTGTCCACTGACAATTTTTTCAAACCACATGGACTGAGAGAATTTGGACAACCCTTAAAGAGGGCAGTTGAAGCCGGAATTGGCCATCAAGTGACCAGACTTCTTGACGGTTAGATGATAATGATTTTGATTATTACAACCTACTTATTATTTCTCGAGTCTTCGTAATCAGTATTCGTCATTATCTCTTGTTGGGATGAGGACATGTAGAACGAACATTTTAGTTATAAAACTTGAAAGGAAGAGACCTTTTCTGAGATGTTAGCTCAGGTGGGAGGGCGGTGTTAAAACGGACCTTAGGGATTAGAGTGTGAGGGTCTGGACCGTGTCCAGTTGTCTCATCTATTTTTAGTCCAGTGGTGGGTGGGCTCGGAGGAATCTGGACCAAACTTTAGCCGCGGAAGTCCAGTGGCTGTTTCAATGAAAGCGGGCGACGAACGAAACCTGATCTATGGTCTGAACCGAAGGACGTTTCGGATGGCTGTGCGAGACAACCTTTCGCTCATGTAAACCATCAGAGTTTCTAATTATCACTTCAACCCTGACAATGAAGGTCTGATGCCCCTCTGAAACGTTGATCTCCAACCAAAACACTACAGGGGCATTAGCCCCTTCTCACAAATCATTGTTTGTTTGGCTTGGGGTTGGCGGGAGGAAGGGGGTGCCTTTCCGCCAGGTCTGTACCAGCCTCTTTTGATTTGGATATGGATTATCAGTACCGACGTTTATTTGTCACGTTGAGGTATCATCTATGTCAGATATAATTTCTCTTCAACTTTGTACCCCCAAAGTTGTTGGTGTATAATTCAAGTTAATGGTTGTATATAATCTACATCTAAAATAAATTAAATAAATTACATTACTGATTATTCAGTGTTTATCATAAAATAATATATATATATTTTTTAAATTTCACGAATCCCCTAAGATGTCTTCGCGTACCCCCGGGGGTACGCGTACCCCAGCTTGAAAACCACTGATCTACGTAACGCTAAGATTCTCTCCTTTGTCGGCGCCTTATCTCAGTTGTTCACTCTTGAACCCAGATGACAGCCACCTGTGGCCATCTTCATATTCGCCCCCGTGAGAACCTGAAATATCACGACCTGCACTATTTTTTATTCGCGCTGTGTAGTGACCTTGCGAGGGCTTTAAGCTACCCTGCCTTATCGTGTGTAGAGGCCTTTCACAGGTAACCAAACATGCAGTCGGCCGGTGAAGTTCACATCGCCCGTTTTTCTCCTTGCTCACAGGCATCAGTCGTGTTTCTCCTTCGATGGCGTTGCGGTGTTGTTCTCAAGCCAGGGTCGACAATCACAGAACAAGTTCTTCTACGTTACAGAAAGTGTCTTTATGCGATCTTCATGAACACCAAGTGTTAAACGTGAAGTGATCAAGGCTACAGTTCAAAAGCAAGCCTTTGTTTCTGCTTGTAATCGTTCTAAAACACATTCGACAGTGTTCAGTTCGCCGAATGAATATACTCGTGTGCGCGTGATCATCAGTCATTTGTTTGTAATGGCGACTGTGGCTGCTTGAAATCATCTCTCTGCTTTCCATTGTTGTGTGTTGATGTGAAAACGTTTTTTTAATCAAATTCTGCAGTGAATTACACGTTTGTTGCAGTAGTTCACCACGTCACGTCCGGTGTGCAGTAACTTCCAATTAGATTTTCGTTGTGTTCATGACGTACGTAAAACGTGTTTTAGTATCGCGTTTAAATCTATCCAGAGCTCTGCAGTGGATCAATTCTTGGTGTTAATGTGTTCCATAACACGGCCTTTGAATTTATAAAACAAAGTCGGGATATTTATTGTTTAATTACAACCGAGTTGAACGGTGCATTCTCATTGGGTTCACTGCATGTAGCAATTTGGGGGAAGGGTTATTTGTATTGGTCTTGCCAAAACATTTGGATTACTTTGTTTACAAAACGTACAATATTCATGCATTCTTTGGATATTAAACTGAACAAATTGTTTGGCTTTACGTGATCATTTCCTTCCGTTTCTTTAAAGATAGAAACGTGCTGTAAAACATCTGTATGGTTTATCGTTTAATTCGATCTGCTCTCTGTTCATGTTTGTCTTCAGTCAAGGTTTGAAAGCGCCATGTTTGTTTTTGCGGGTAGTATATACTGACGGAATGAAGTGACAAGTTCATTTCTCTGGCCTCAACTGCTCATATCGTAACCTAAAGTTAAACATTTTAATCGGGATATTAAACTGAACAAATTGTTTGGCTTTACGTGATCATTTCCTTCCGTTTCTCTAGTTTGTGCGTTGTTCAGAATCGTGCGTTAGTTTTCATGTAATTGCTGTAATTACGTTGAGAGTTTTTGGTTATGATTTTTTTTGTACGGTTTTTCGATCTTAGATGTGCACAATCACGTGTGTGTGAGACGGTAAATATTGGTTAAAAAGTTTAAATTCCAGCATAGAGTGAATTTTCCCACATGTATGCATTAGTGTGACACTGTGAAACACGTCGTGATGAAGGTGGAGCTGAAACTATCCGAAACAGTGTGCTTTTAAAACAGTGAAACGTGTAATTGTTTGGAGATTTCTGAAGAGCATCTCAAGTGCAGTTCCGTCATTTGTAAGTACAACTCTGTTTCGGTATGTTTTTTCTTAAATGATGATCTTGGTACAATTCAGGTTAGATCCAAAAAAAACTGCTTAATTTTCCCCCTCCCCGACGATGACTGTCGGCATTTATAATAATGGAGAACTTGTTAATTACTTTATTCGCCTGGCTGTAAAATTATTTTCTAAAGAATGTTCGGATTTGTTGGATTCATCACAGTTTCTCACCAACAATGGAAATTCGTAATGGAAACGACTGCTAACAAACGCAGCTAATGCCACGGTTTCGTAGGATTTCCTTTAATTATGGTTTTTATGGTAGTTTTAGTTATTCAGTTCTCAGTTACAGTACGAGGCCATAAAGAGGATTGCTTTTGTTATACGAACTTTAATAATCTCATTGTAGCCGCCTCGTGGATTTCTACTGTTTCTTCTTTAACACCTGCGCTGTTCGTCCTTGTCCGGGCTGACTCAGGGCTACCAACATTTTATGGTTTTGCAGGTTTAAGCTTTGTCTCGTTGAGAAGAGCTTTTGTTTTCAGCTGTTCTGTCACTTAATGCTTAACCCCCATGGAATGAACCTCCTTAATATAGGCACGTCTCGCATTTACTCTTCAGTTTACCTAATGACATAGGCGTAGTCATCATTATTATAATCTCAGTACTTATCAGTGTAGCCAATTGATTATTCGCATGTTTGTGACTTGATAATAATTCCGTAGGAATATAAACAGCTCTGTTACAAGTAACTCCATGGGGTAGAGCCCTTGAGAAGCTAAGTGGGCTGTTCTGATATATTATTTCTGTGTTTTGGATAAGTTTTTCGGCTGATCGACTGTTAGTTTTTTAGAATGAATGTATCCTGTGTGGTTAATTTATTTGTATGCGTAATGAAGTCCTACAGTGTACAGATTTTATAGCTTCATTGTGTGTGGGATTGTTAAATAAATCAGGTTTCAGCTGCTGTTACTGATGCAAATTTTACTGTTGTTAGTAACTTCGTGTTAAATCCTGATTAACACGAATAATAATAGTAACAACAGGAAAGATTGTAATTGCCTCTTAATAGGATTGTCCCTTTTTTGTTGGATGGACTGAATCTTCTTCGTTTTGCATCGTCAGAGAGTTAAAAGCACGAATTCAGACGTGCGGGTTGCATACGTATTGGGCGGCTGGAACGTAGTTTCTGCATGATTGTCACGATTACGAATTGACATTGTATAACACGACCCGAGTTCAAAAGGTCACGTAGCTGTTTGATGTTACCACGTGATCAGAATGATCTGTCTCCGTGCGTTTTCACGTAAATTAACGTTTGTAACCATAAATTAACTAAACTGCGACATAAATATCTATTTTTTTTATTATTTTCTACTTGCATTTGACCTAACCATCACCATTTGTTTTCGAATGCGTACATGTTCATCGTTGAAGTCCATTCCGAACGCTACGTAGTAAAATGATGGACTGTCGACTGGTGCGTATTAAATTTAAATGTATCTCACAGCTTTCATTGTACCCGACCTCCCCACTCGTTAGATAGTTCCAAAGTTCAAGCATTAAGGTTGTTTCTCTCTTCAGAAATGGATAACTTGAACGGATCCGCCACTGAACTCCACTTTAACTCCTAGCGAAGCCTTATCGGGCGAAACTCTTGAGCAGCTTCAGAAGAACGTTAATAAAGTCTGACTTTGACGATACAATGGCATGGCTAACGGTCCAGTTGGCCGCGCGAAATTCGCGAAAGTTTTCTCAAGTAGCGGTATAACTCCTAGCGAAGCCTTATCGAACCTTTTATACGCGCGTGTCTTAGGAACAAAACTTTGAATTTATGGGCCAACTTGTGTCTTCATCCCCAAAGTTTCACCACATCAAAAGAGTCACTTCAGTAGCACAACTTTCCTGCAAGATAACTTTATAAATACCGCACAATATTTGTTGAGCCGAAGAACGTGGCGTGTTCAGCCGTTCATCTTAAGAACGTGAAACCGTGCGTCATTGTGACGAACGCGTGCAGGGTAATGTATCAAGATAAATTAAACGTGGTACGGAAAGAGTTTAAAGCGTCCAAGAGATTTATTGAGTAATATGTGAGTGAATGCTAGGCTTAATTCAGTAGAATTTTTAATAACTTGCATTGAAGTTTTAATGAAGTGTTCTCATTTACGATCTTGGGGCCCTTGGTAGGATTACAGGCTGTGATTGTGTGGCCGTAGGCCTAGAAAGGGTTTGGGGGCCACTGGAACATCATTTTCCATATTAGTCGGAAAAGTGCAGTTTTAAACGAGGGGTTAGCAATCCGTGCTCTGGTTTGTTGCTCTCTTCCCGACCTCACCTGTTAAAAAAACCCATTTAGGTAATTAGTGATTTATCTGTAAATCACTGGTGTGGAACGGAAATTTATTTTCTGATTGAGTGAAAGTTCTTGGTACTAACCAGTTCTGCTCTCCATCTTTGATATCGCAGGATTCACTTCGCTGGACCGAAATTAAGAATGCGTGGAGCTGTACCTCCATTTCCACACGTGTCTGTGTGGCGTGGTGCAGGATTCGAATGGTTGAAATACCGATTATGGAACTACGTGGCAATTTAGAACTTAAAGACCCCGATATTTGTTGTAAAATTTGTCATTAAGGAATAACGTACTTGGATGACTTCATTGAACTTTCAGTTTTTCATATCATCAGGGCGTTTGAACAGCAGAACGTCGCGCGTCCCGACGTATTTGCCGACAAAACTCGGCGAAAGAGATTATGAAACCCAATTTCTTGTTATTACTTCGATATTATAGGCTGATATCGAGCGTATTATTCATGTATACCATTTAATTTGATTGTTTCATGCATTTCGTTATTCGTGTATAACCTGACTGTCGCTCTCATTAATTTAATTGGCAAAGTTCATGCAAGAAATCAGAAGACGGCTTTATCGGTCGAAGAAACTTCAGCCGCTCCAAAAGCAAAAGTTGGATGTCTTTATGTTTGTCATTCTGTTATCTACTTTTCTCTTTTAATCCCCCCTCCTCCTCCTTTCATTGTCTTCCTAACAAATGGTGGTTCTGGCACTCGCTTGTTGTTATAAGAGGCAGTCCGTACTGTGACTTAGGTAGTAACGCACTGCCTCTGTAAATGAGGTTGCAAGTGGTAACTTGAGAGTGGAGAGGACATGTCAGAATAATATTGCAATGTATTTCCTTAGACTGCACTCTGAGAAATTGTCTGTCACTTCGGAACGGATTAATTTCACGTGAAGTCTCTGTGTGTCGCTCTCCAGACCGGAGGTACCAGGGAAACTGATGGCGTCACAGGGGAAGGTGGTCGTAGCACTGAGGTACACTCACTTTGTTTAAAATAGTGGACCTGTTTTCTTCATCCGCTGGGTATAAACACAGACGTGCGATGTTGTCTCGGTAGATGTTTGCCGACGTTTCAGATGTGGGGGGCAGGAGGTCGTAGCACTGAGGTACACTCACTTCGTTTAAAATAGTGCACCTGTTTTCTTCATCCGCTGGGTATAAACACAGACGTGCGATGTTGTCTCGGTAGATGTTTGCCGACTTTTCAGATGTGATTGCAGCCTCCGTAATGAGGCAGACGTTTCTGGGTGGAATCGAATGTGTTTGGTGGTTGAGTGAAAGGTTGAACTTTGGTCCGCCCACCTTTCTCGGCTACTTCGTGTCTTTCTAGAGGACCGCAGCTCATGCAGAATGATCTGTCGCCACAGCTGCTTCGTTCCTTGGTAATTACTGATCGCGGACGTACGCGTCTATTTTTATATATTCATAATAAATAACTGTGCGGTGCTGCTGTGAGACTAAGGCAATCTCAGTTATGGCCACAAACCGTATCTTAAAGAACTTGGAGTTAATGTTGTAAAGTTTTGCTGTCTTCTGTGCAACGTGTTTTCCGAGCACTAGAGGTTTCATTTATTTACTGATCGCGGACGTACGCGTCTATTCCTTAGACTGCACTCTGAGAAATTGTCTGTCACTTCGGAACGGATTAATTTCACGTGAAGTCTCTGTGTGTCGCTCTCCAGACCGGAGGTACCAGGGAAACTGATGGCGTCACAGGGGAAGGTGGTCGTAGCACTGAGGTACACTCACTTTGTTTAAAATAGTGGACCTGTTTTCTTCATCCGCTGGGTATAAACACAGACGTGCGATGTTGTCTCGGTAGATGTTTGCCGACGTTTCAGATGTGATTGCAGCCTCCGTAATGAGGCAGACGTTTCTGGGTGGAATCGAATGTGTTTGATGGTTGAGTGAAAGGTTGAACTTTGGTCCGCCCACCTTTCTCGGCTACTTCGTGTCTTTCTAGAGGACCGCAGCTCATGCAGAATGATCTGTCGCCACAGCTGCTTCGTTCCTTGGTAATTACTGATCGCGGACGTACGCGTCTATTTTTATATATTCATAATAAATAACTGTGCGGTGCTGATGTGAGGCTAAGGCAATCTCAACAAACCGTATCTTAAAGAACTTGGAGTTAATGTTGTAAAGTTTTGCTGTCTTCAGGGGAAGGTGGTCGTAGCACTGAGGTACACTCACTTTGTTTAAAATAGTGGACCTGTTTTCTTCATCCGCTGGGTATAAACACAGACGTGCGATGTTGTCTCGGTAGATGTTTGCCGACGTTTCAGATGTGATTGCAGCCTCCGTAATGAGGCAGACGTTTCTGGGTGGAATCGAATGTGTTTGATGGTTGAGTGAAAGGTTGAACTTTGGTCCGCCCACCTTTCTCGGCTACTTCGTGTCTTTCTAGAGGACCGCAGCTCATGCAGAATGATCTGTCGCCACAGCTGCTTCGTTCCTTGGTAATTACTGATCGCGGACGTACGCGTCTATTTTTATATATTCATAATAAATAACTGTGCGGTGCTG